TATATATTTTAACCTATGATGCATAGTTTTATACGTACTTGAAACAAAATTATGATTTTTCGTACATCATATTTTGACTACATTTTTAAAATTTTAACCAATATATAACACATAGAAGAAAATTCATTAAGGTACTTAAATAAAATATTATATCAAAATAAATTGAGAAATATACAATATATATCAATTGAATTTTTTTATAATTAATATGTATCATTTGTAATATTGACATCTTGAACAGACCTGGGGTAATCATCAATCATAATCATCGATTTTTAAATTGATTACATGATTACACTGTAATCATCATGTAATTGATTACCTTGCTCAAAATTGATTACATTAATTGTAATTAATCAATTACAGCTTAAATTCAGTCTGTAATTATGATTACAATTTGATTGATGTTGATTACTTTCAAATTTTACATAAAACTATTGAAATTCAAAATATTTATTTCACATGTTACAGTTGAACTTATATTTCTTTATAATGATCTTTGATCACAAATTGTAGAGTGTAAATTGATTTTTATTGAATATTCATTATTGTTGATATCTATTGATATCCATATTTGAAGTAAATAATAGAAATTGTCATAATAAACAATGATTGTCCATAATGGTAGTAAAATATCAAGTGCGATGTTAATAAGACATCACTCACAATGCAGAAATAAGTTAAAATCCATACAGTTAACCAAATTCTAACTGAAAGATAGACATCATTGTTTGGCTGGTATTCCAACCAAAATGTCATATCATTGGATTAATGATGTCTTTGAATTTCCTAAAGAGACATCTGGAAATGTGACAGCACCTTGCAAATTGTGCCCTAGGAATATAAATGGAAACACTTAGTCACATTCAAATTCCATTATCCACATAAAGGTAACTATGTTAAATTTTGTTTCACATATTTTGGTTAAACCATGTTTTAAAAAGTTTCAAACAATGTAGATAACTTCTTTACTTTGTATATTCTAGAGTTTATGTCAGATGCATATTACCATATTTTAATTATATTAAAGTTAGGTATTTTGTAAGGTGATAGACAATGTGTCTATATTATAATGAATACTGATGTACCATTGAAGTGTTTGTAAGAAATTGATACTTTGTAAAGCCTATTGTCTCTGAATTCCCATACAAAAATTTATTGTTTTCACACCTGTTTTAACACCTGTATACAGCATACTGTACAATTGACACTTATCAAAATTTCTGTGGCAGAGAGAGTTTATTATGAAACCTACACCAAGAAGACCGAGGACCATTCCTGCATCATCAGCCCCTGTAGAGCGTTTGTTTAGTGTTGCGGGTAAAATTTTCTGTCCTGATAGATGCAGTCTGACTGACAGACGGTTTCATGAACTTATGATGCTAAAGTGCAATGCTAAAATATGATAAAGTGATGTGACAGTAACTAAAAGTGTGTTAAATTGATGACTGTTGATGAGCTGGAAATCCTTTGTTTATATAATGTATATATTGTATATATTAAAAAGCATTAAGAAACTTTTGTTTATAGTTATACATTGAATGTAATCAATTATCAATCAATTACTTTCTTAAAGTAATTGTAATTTAATTGATTACAGAGACAAGTCTGAGTAATCAATTGTAATCAATTACAATAAAATCTGAAAGTAATTGTAATTAAATCAATTACTGATCAATGTAATCATCCCCAGGTCTGATCTTGAAAAAACATTTTATCAAGTATTTCTCGACCTCGTCTGTAATATCACCAACGGCAATTTGACACCTTCAATGTTTCCCTTCTTTGTGTAACTGGTCAGCAGTTTTCGATAATCCTTCTTTGTTTAACTGGTCAGCAGTTTCCTATATATTCTATATCGTCAGCTAATTCGTCAGCAGTTTAGTGCGACCCCTTCCATGATCGCACCGTTTGTCGGTGAGTTAGTAAATTCTGACCAAGCACCGGTAGACGCACGACAATGCGATACGATATTATTCCAAATGTCGCTTCGCAAATATCGAGTGTCGCTTCGCGTTGTCGAGTAGCGCTTCGCGTTGTCGAGTGTCGCTTCGCATTGTCGAGTGTCGCTTCGCAATGTTGAGCGTCGCGGTGTAAAAATCATAAAAATAACGCGACATTTACTCGACATTTTAAAAATGTCGCTTCGCGATGTCGAGTGTCACTTCGCATTGTCGAGCGTCGTATCGCATTGTCGCGTTGTCGTTTCGCATTGTCGAGTGGCGTGGTATGCACTTCTACCAACCTCGACACTCGACAATGCGAAGTGACAATGCGACAACGCGAAGTGACATCGCGACAACGCGAAGTGACATCGCGACAACGCGAAGCGACGCTCGACAATGCGAAGCGACACTCGACAACGCGAAGCGACATCTCTTAAATGTCGCCCTTTTTTACCGCGACATTTCTAGGCGACAGTGCGACATATCGTTTGACACTGTCGAGCGTCGCTTCGCATTGTCGCATATCGCTTCGCGTTGTCGAGCGTCGCTTCGCATTGTCGCGATGTCACTTCGCATTGTCGTGTGTCTACCCTTAGACGCGACGGACGACATTCTAAATGGCACGATAAGGACACCGTAGGAAAATAACTTCTTCAGGTTATTTTTAAAAAGCTATCCTTAATTGAAAAACTGACCTTTGATGGGTTTATCTCATGAACTCATTATCATGGTTTTACTAAAACTTCCTCATTTGCACACAACTTGAGGGCCAATAATGGCAGATCTGTTTCATTTAGATAACCTTCCCTTTCTACTACTTTGTTATCAAGTTGAATAATAAAAATTCTTTGAAAGATAATCATGACTTTAGTTTTATTGAATATAGATTGAAAATGTTTTGGTTAGGAATTGGTGCTAGTATGCTGAATGTGAATTTTAACCAAATGCTGGACTTGTTTTAATGATTTTTTGTAAATTTTTTATAAAAATTGAAAAAAAGAAGATTTTTGAAGAAAAAAAAATTGTCAAAACCAATTTTTATTACAAAATTGTATGCTAAATTTGAAATATCTAAAGTTAAAAAATAGATTTATGTAGATTTGTATTGGTGTTTTAGGTTTCAGTTTATAATTATACTGCATTTATACCATTCCTTTTTGAAAGTTAAAAAAACACAAATTATCTATTTTTTATGATCTCACAATATCATACTGATCCTACATTGTTACAAAAATGTAATGTATGGGAATGGAATGTTGTGATTGAAAAGTTGTTTTATTATTAAAAATAAAATATATAAAATGTCAAAACGTTACAAAGTTTATCGGAGGCCTTCAGTGTCTTATAATCAGGTAAGATATTTCTTTTTTGATGAATGTTTTGTCAAGATTAACGTTTGGAACTAATGTTATTATTTGAATGGATTTGAATGTTGGCATAATACATGCCAGCCTGGCAATATACTGATAAAATAATACAGGCCAATCTGGCAATATACTGGTAGAATAATACAGGCCAGCCTGGCAATATACTGGTAGAATTATACAGGCCAGTCTGGCAATATACTTGTAGAATGATACAGACCAGTCTGGCAACATACTGGTAGAATAATACAGGCCAGCCTGGCAATATACTGGTAGAATAATACAGGCCAGCCTGGCAATATACTGGTAGAATGATACAGACCAGTCTGGCAATATGATAGAATAATACAGGCCAGTCTGGCAATATACTGGTAGAATAATACAGGCCAATCTGGCAAAAAACTGATAGAATGATACAGGCCAGTCTGGCAATGTACTGGTAGAATACAGGCCAGTCTGACAATATACTGATAGAATAATACAGGCAAACCTGGCAATATACTGGTAAAATAATACATGCCAGTCTGGCAATATACTTATAAAATGATACAGGCCAACCTGGCAATATACTGGTAGAATGATACAGGCCAGTCTGGCAATATACTTGTAGAATCATACAGGCCAGTCTGGCAATATACTGGTAGAATAATACAGGCCAGTCTGGCAATATACTTATAAAATGATACAGGCCAGCCTGGCAATATACTGGTAGAATGATACAGGCCAGTCTGGCAATATACTTGTAGAATCATACAGGCCAGTCTGGAAATATACTGGTAGAATAATACAGGCAAACCTGGCAATATACTGGTAGAGTAATACAGGCCAACCTGGCAATATACTGATAGAATGATGCAGGCCAGTCTGGCAATATACTGATAGAATAATACAGGCCAATCTGGCAATATACTAGTTGAATAATACAGGCCAGCCTGGCAATATACTGTTCAAATAATACAGTCCAGTCTGGCAATATACTGGTAGAATAATACAGTCCAGTCTGGCAATATACTGGTAGAATAATACAGGCCAGTCTGGCAATATACTGGTAGAGTAATACAGGCCAGTCTGGCAATATACTGGTAGAATAATGCAGGCCAGTCTGGCAATATACTAGTAAAATAATCATGCCAGTCTGGCAAATATACTGGGTAGAATAATACAGGCCAGTCTGGCAATATACTGATAGAATGAATGCAGGCCAGTCTGGCAATATACTTGTAGAATCATACAGGCCAGTCTGGCAATATACTGGTAGAATAATACAGGCCAGTCTGGCAATATACTGATAGAATGATGCAGGCCAGTCTGGCAATATACTTGTAGAATCATACAGGCCAGTCTGGCAATATACTGGTAGAATAATCATGCCAGTCTGGCAATATACTGGTAGAGTATTACAGGCCAGTTTGGCAATATACTGGTAGAATGCTACAGGCCATATACTTATAATACTGGCTATATATAACAGACATACTTGTCTTCTCAAATATCTTTTTTGCAATAACTATTCATTTAGTGTATAAGAAATAGACTTTAGAATGTATATTATACTGGTACGTTATAATACAGGCCCTCAGATTTATGCATCCTCACACTTCTTTAGATGTTAATGCATCAAAAGTTGCATTAAACCTGTATTATGATATGCGTGTTTATAATTTAGTTGTATCTTATTTTCTTGTTTCAGAGCCGGACAGAAATTCAGAATGGCAATGTACTGCAACTCACAGATTCACCTGTAAGTTAAAATGAAATTCTTGTAGTCATTTAAAAACAGTTTTATGAATGCATTATATAAAAAATTTGACCTTCCACTTGTTGATAGAAACTTTCTGGATTCAGCATAATTTTAAGGATTAAACAAGTGTCAGCTGGGATTGGAATCAGAAATTTGTGTCTTTGCTGCTTAAGTATGGATAAATGTAAAAAGTAATAAAGACGGAGAATTTCCAGAGGCTTTCTATAGGTGGGACATATACATTTGTAGGTTTAAACCAAGATGACTTTAACTGTTGCTGCTAGTAGATTAACCCCTTGTTCTTCTGGCTGCAACAATTTTACCTAACCAGTGCAGACCACACAACCAGTGCAGACCAGAATCAGACAGCTGATGTGCCAGCTGATCTTAGTATCCACTGTTCAGTTTTTAGTTGGTACAAAAATTATTATGAAATTTTCCCTAAAAATAATGAATGATCTTGTCCACATTAAAAGATGTACTACATGTCCATTTAAGATATAATTATTGCATGGTAAGGATTTAGACAGGCGAAAATAAAAATATTATAGTCCAGTGAAGTATTCACTTATTTACATGATTTAAATTCTTTAATATAATAATCAGATGTTGTTTTAGGGTTTATTGACTGCTTATTCAACATTTGAGCCGCTTTTTTTACAAAACCCAAAAATGGCTGCAATTTAGCTAACCAGCTGAGACCAACACCAGTGCAGACCAAATCAGACGCATGAATGTGCAGCAATCTTAGTATCCATCTGTTCAGTTTTAGTGTACAAATTATTTGAATTTCCTTAAGTTAAATGATCTGTCATAACAGAGTCCATTTAGATATAATATGATGGTAAGGATTTAGACGCAGGTGAAAATAAAAAATATTATAGTCCAGTGAATTATTCACTTATTTACATGATTTAATTTGTTTAAAATAATAATCAGGTGTTGTTTGAGGGTTTATTGACTGCTTATTCAACATTTCCCTATTTTATTTATGTTCTATATTAGAATATTGTGTAATAATTTGTTGTTTAATTATTCACATTGTACTTTATTCTTGCTCAACATTATAGATTATACACTATGAAGAAATAGGCAAGTTAAGAAATAAAGAAATTTTTAAGTAGAGAATCCTGCTGTGTAGGAGATAAATAAAGAAAAATTCCTCTGATATCTTCTAATAATGTAATTTATATTCCTGATACCAGGAAGAAACATCGCTTACATATAATTTTAAGCGATTTTTAATAAACATTTTTGTGTAGCAGAGTAGCGGTGACATATAGGGATTAATTCTCTGTTGTCTGTCTGTCCATTCATCACATAACTTGTCTGAACTACTCCTCAAAACTTCTTGTGCAATTTCATCTAAACTTTACAGGAATGATCAGTACAAAGTCTAGATGTGCATATTTTTGGAATTTTCCAGTTCAATGATTTTTGTCAAGAGTTATGGCTCTTTGATAATTTTTATTTTTGCCTGGACTACTTCTCCTATACTAGTAATGCCATTTTGAATTAAACTTTACAAGATTGATTAGTTGCTTAAGTTTTTGAACATATTACACAGTTTTTCTGGTTGAATGATTTTTTTTTGCTGAGTTTAATATGACCCTTGGATCAAAAAGGTGTTTTGTCCTGTTAATGATTTTTGTTTTGCCTGCTACATAGTAGCTTATACATGGCACAAGGAAGCCACGACTTATAAGGATCATTTCTTTGTCATCAGTCTGTCTGTTTGTCTGACTATCTGTCCGTCACAAAATTTTTAGCTCGACTATTCGATAAGAATAAGTAGAGCTATTGTAGTCACCCGAGCGTCGGCGTCGGCGTAACCACTTATGTTAAAGGTTTTGTAATAGTTCAAATATTTTCAAAGTCCATTGACATATGGCTTTGAAACTTTGCACACTTGTTCACCATCATGACCCCAACCTGTAGACAGGAGGAGGTAACTCTATCAAGCATTTTGACAGAATTATGCCCCTTTTTCGACTTAGAATTTACGTTAAAGTTTTTGTAATAGTTCAAATATTTTCAAAGTCCATTGACATATGGCTTTGAAACTTTGCACACTTGTTCACCGTCATGACCCCAACCTGTAGACAGGAGGAGGTAACTCTATCAAGCATTTTGACAGAATTATGTCCCTTTTTCAACTTAGAATTTACGTTAAAGTTTTTGTAATAGTTCAAATATTTTCAAAGTCCATTGACATATGGCTTTGAAACTTTGCACACTTGTTCACCATCATGACCCCAACCTGTAAACAGGAGGAGGTAACTATATCAAGCATTTTTTTTTACTATCAAGCACTAAGAATAGTTGAGCGTTGCTGTCCTACCGACAGCTCTTGTTGTATAAACATTCATTATATAGTAATGTATTTTGTGGTTGAAGTTTATATTTCCATATGAATCATAATGGTTTTCATCAGCATCTAAATGACATTTGTCTAAAGCTAGAATTTTCATTCCAGTGCAATAAATGTCTAAATTTCAATGCAGGATTTTTCATTCTAATGTTGTATGCCAAAAGCTAGAATTTTTTATTTCAATGCTTCGTTGTAGATTATTCATTCCAATGTTGTTGTTTTTCTCGATTCCAAAGTTATATGTCTAAAGCTATATTTTTCATTCCAATCTTTTATGTCTAAAGCTATATTTTTCATTCCAATCTTTTATGTCTAAAGGTTTTTATTCCAGTGCTAGATTTTCATTCAAATGCTAGCTTTTTCATTCCAGTATTATATGTCTAAAGCTAGATTTTTTTAATGTCATATATCTAAAGCTAGGTGCTAGATTTTTTTATTCTTTAAATATCAAGTCTGCATGATATCTATGACAATTTAGTATCAATCACTGTTGTTCTGGAGGTCACAGTTTTGACTGAATGTTCTATAAACTTTTACAAGAATGGTTCCTTAACAATAAGTTGGACACTTAGTTTGAACATAGATGACTTTGGGTCTAAACCTAAGAAACGACTTCATAAAAATAAAAAAGAAATAAATGTATACGGAAATGATTTAAAAAAAAATTTTTTTATCAGAGTCGAGCAGCACAGACGATCATTGACAAGTTAGCGGAGGGAAATCGTGAGGACAAGATTGAAGCATTAAAGAATTTGTCTATGAAATGTTCTGATGCAACGTTCTCCCACGAGTTTATCAAGAAAAAAGGACTAAAGCTTATCATAGATTATGTTATAGCAGGGAACAAAAGTTTGTAAGTATAGATAACTTAACCATAACTTGCTGCCTGCAACATATTATAGCAATGCAACCAGATCTTGGTCTGATTTGTTACCTTTTCAAATCAGTATCTAGTTTGAAATTTTTTCATAAAATTGTTGAATGGTTTTGTGCAGAATAAAAGATGGACATATCAATATAAGATATTTAGCATGCCAAGCGTTAATAATCTTAAACAAATTACAGTTAAACTTCGTTCGCTCGAACTCGGATCGCTCGAATACCTCCCTTCGCTCGTACATATCACCCAGTCCCGGCGAAATTCGTATATAATATATATTGTTCTACCTCGGATCGCTCGAACACCGATCGCTCGAACTCTCGAACCTGATCTCTGGTCCCTTCGGCAGAAATATAGTGAAAATCACACCTTTTCGGTCGAACACAAAAAGACAAGTCGACATGTCCTAAATAAATGACAGTCGGCGACACATGTTTTTAACACCTCGTGATCGTGACAAAGGCAATTAAGGTTAATTGATATAAAATAAGAGGTGGTGTACATAACCGATTTGTTTGTTACGATAATATTGTTGATTTGCCGTTTATGGTAACAATAAAAAGAAAATAACTCTTGTAATAAGTGAAATATGCAAAAGTCAGTAAAGAATGACGTTTACCCGGACGGCTTTAATTACAACCGTAGTTCATGTAACGTGAATTGTAACAGTGTTTATCTATTTATAGAATGATACTTGCTTACGTGTGTTTGTTTTAGTAAAAGACTACAAATAGATGCTGCTGTAAAACTTTTTCTCAAATATTTCATTAATCTATCTTTTAAAATTAAATTAATCCTATTATAAACATATTAATATATTTTGAACATTGGTCAACAAGTTTGGTCTGATTGCCCAATCGAACTCAACCGATATCAATATGCATGAATATAGATAAACACAACATACCGTTAATACTTAGATAATAATTCTGAATATAACATATTTGACGACGGATGTACTAACAAACAATTATATTGACGTATTTATCATCAGACCGATGTATGCTAGAAAACCTTTAGGCATATGATCAACGTAATAATAGTTCAATCTCGGTTGGCTCGAACTACCGATCTCTCGAACAAATTTGCACAGGCCCTCCGAGTTCAAGTGAACGAAGTTCGACTGTACATGTATCTCAATGTTTCATAACATATGTACTGTAATTTTGTTTCTATAACAAGCACCTTTTTTATGTACAGCTAGAAATGAAAATCTTGTGTAAATGGATATAATTCAACTCTTCATGTGTACTCTTCATGTGAAGTCATCGGGTTAGCTAAATAGGTAGATCGTTGGACTGTGAATCAGGCGACCCGGGTTTGATTCCCAGCTGGCGCAGGTCACTTTCGTTGTGATTGATCATGACATCCTTTTTAAGGTCATTCCCACTGTACCTCTGCTCTGGCATGTACAGAATTTTTAGTTCTCTGTGAAAGTGAAGGCATCTAGTACTGGTAAACTGCTTGACTGATTGATTGATTGATTGATTTTCTTTAGACCGGGCGGTCAAGGATAACCTACGAAAGTGCAAGCACTTATTTCCAGTAGGGTCCTTATCTCACCAGACTCTAGAGACAGCTATGAGATACAAGGGACAGCCTGCCCAGGAACGATGAGGTGGTTGAACTGTGCTCTGGTGAATTCAATGTGACTTTCTGTCGTGATCCAGAGTGAAAACTACCACCACCTTCATGTGTACAAAAATTACAAGTATACAAAATGTTTATAATGGCCTCATTAATTTAAAAAATAAAAAAAAAAATAGAGAAAGTATAATGTACAGTATAAATAAAATAAAAATGGCAAAAAATGGCAGAACAATAAGGATATATAACCAGGAACTTCTAAAAACAAAAAGGTTAAAAGATTTTTGTTTGTAATTGTTGTTACAAATAGGCATGATAAAAAAGTTGAGTGTTTTAAACACAAACATCTATTGAAAAAAAGTTGCTCAATAAGGCTAGATATTACAAAAAAAATGCATATGTTGAAGTTGCAAAATGAGATAAAAGAAGGTTTGAAGATCAATTTAGAATGATTTAGAGAAGTAGATATTGAAAAATTCTTTGATATATATTATGTATCTTGTAAACACTTAAGTTTAAAGCACTTATTGCATCTTGAACCTTTAAAAGGTTATATAGAATATTTCAGACACATGTTTTACCTAAGCAAATGTTAAAATAGATAAAATAGGATAGGGGGAAGTCTAAAGTTACAAGCTTGCAGATATGAAAATCAAATTATCAAAAAAATCAAATTTAAAAAAAACCAACACCATATAACTAAACTATAACAAAGACTAAGATGCATTTTTAAAGTCATTGTGCTTATAAATTGAAATAGATGCATCTTAATAGCTATATATATTTTAGATACCTTGCATGGCCTCTTACAATTAAGTTTGTTTTTAAGGTCAAGGTCACTGTGGTTAAAAATAGATTATTTATACTTTTTGTTGTAGAGCCTTCAATCATTCAACAATATCAAGATACCAGGTATCTAGTCACATTGCATGAAACCTACACATAGTGTTAGTACCTACACTTAGTGTTAGTAATTAGCATTGTTAGATTCAAAATCACTCTAACTAACAGTGATTATTTCTTATTTTCTTTGTAATGCTTGTTTTTTTCATATACCTAATCTTCTTTATTACAGTAATGGAGATCCTCTGATGTTCTTATTGAGGTCATTTGTTGCCTTAATGGAACATAATGTTGTCTCATGGGATATTCTGGAACCAGAGTTTATTAAACAGGTAATTGTTTGAATAAACCATTAACTCCAAACCAGTTACATTTTTTTCAACCCTTTTTTATCCAATAAAAAGGAGCCGTCAATTAGGGCATGACCATAATCCATGCTATTGAAATCATGAATTGTTGTTAATTTATAACTGCTGTACATGTATATGTAAAAGTGATTTTGGAAGGTTATTATGGAATTGTTCCACAACCCATACTGATCATCTGAATGTGGAGAATAAATAAGGGTCACCCATGTTGTTGAGCCCCCCCCCCCCAAAAAAAAAAAAAAAAAAAAAACAAAAAAACAAAACAAAAAAAACATAAATTCTAGGCTGTTGTGTTAAAATAATTGAATTTAGCACTAATATTTGTCCATAGATTTAATTTGATTAAAAAAAACAACATCAATCCTAAACTTTATTTTATCTAACTATTGTTTGAAGGTACAAAAATAAAGATTTTAATCAATTAATTATATTACAGGTAGCTACATGTATATCTGGGGCGCGTGCAGCAGGGGATGGCTGTATACAACCTTCATTAGAGATCTTAGAAAGTGTGATATTACACAGGTTTGTCCCTTCCTTGATTACTATATGTAGATATAATTTATTGTTGCTTATTGTAGATCATAGTATTTGACATCTTAGAGACTGTTGACCTTGTAGTTATGGTGTTTGTCTGTTGACCCAGGGATGGGTTCAACCATCTTTTTGCATATTTCACCTCAGTCTGAAATTATTGAGAAACTTTGTCAGTTCTTTGTCAGTTCTAACTAAGAACTAAGGTATTAAAACTTGGTCAGTTTCTTACAATAAGAAACTAAGTATTTGATTGGTAGAAACTGTCAAGAAAATGTTTAACCTTTAAACCGTGTAAACAGGTTAAAAAACAGACTTAAGATCATGGTTGAGAAAATCCAGAAAAAATATTCTATACCTATGGCACCCATCACCGCATTGTGTCAAATCAATAGGATTTGATTCAAATGCACTTATAATGATATATTTTGTATGTTACAGTACTGATATTGCTAAGATGGAATCAATGGAGCAATTTATTACACCTGATAAAATCGTACCATACATGCAAAGGTGGGTGACATTTTCCATATTTTTTATAGCCTTTACACGGCTGGAACCAAAAGAGATTAGCCTATACTAAAACATCTTAATTTCTACACTGAGCAATATAACTTGTTAGACGTGCCTGGTTAATATAACAGGGCATCATTTAATATTTCAGTTGGTTTATGGTAGTATATGTAACAATAAAAAGTCTATCCTGATATACAAATCATTACATGAAGAAAACTCACCATGCTACATGAAAGGAAAATTTCAATTTGACTCAACTTCAATTTTACTTAACAGAAATTTTAGATCAACAAACAATCTTAGTACATGTCCCTTAACCTAATCTTGAGTTTACCAAAAATCACTTTCTTATTCTGGAACTAAAATCTAGAATGATATACCCCTCCATGTACGCCAGTCTGAAAGTACTGAAAAATTCAAAAAAGCTTACATAAAGTGGAAGTACTCTGATTAAACCAGTACCATAGTATTATGTTTATATAATTATGTTTACTGCAGTTTTCATTGTTGATGGTTAATATTTATGTTTGGTTGGTTATTGCATTTATAACTAGTTAATACTATATTCTATAATATTACATTGTCTTTTGTACAATTATTTGATGTAAACATGTTGTAAAAATGTTTAGGTACATATGGAAGATCGTTTTGGCGAATATGTAGCCTCGTTAAATAAAGCCTTTATTATTATTATTATTTTTATTATTATTATTATTATTATTATTATTATTAATATTATCACATCAGTGCTGTCTTAGCAAGCTCTACGGTGTTGACTGACTAACTTAAAATATTAAGTATAAGTATTTATAGATGCTACTGTATTTGTACTGTACTGTCATGAAGGAGGCATTTAGTGACATTTAAAAAGACAAACAATATACAATGTATGTTAAAATATGTAGCATGAATGAAAAATATATTTTCCCTTTCCCATGTTCATTTAAATTACTGAAATATTTTTCATAAAGTTCATGTGAAGATATTGTTTAGTTTATGGAAGCCTGATATATTAAAAAACATTATTTGATGTAATAGGCCAGTCATCAGCTAGAATGTTTTGTCAGTATATATGAGCCGCGTCACGACAAAACCAACATAGTGCGTTTGCGACCAGCATGGATCCAGACCAGCCTGCGCATCCGCGCAGTCTGATCAGGATCCATGCTGTTCGCTTACCAACTATATTACAAGTAGAGAAACTGATAGCGAACAGCATGGATCCTGATCAGACTGCGCGGATGCTCAGGCTGGTCTGGATCCATGCTTGTCGCAAACGCTCTATGTTGGTTTTGTCATGGCGCGGCTCATATCGTAAATAGATGTGTGAGAGAATTTAATTACTTTAAAAAAATGGTTTGTTCAAAATACCAGGACTTGGCATCAATGTTAAGTTTGTGTTTTCAATTTTCAGTTCCAATGCAGATGTACAGCAGAGTGCATTAGCTCTTCTTAATGCCATGTTTATTAAATCATCACCAGAGAAAAAACAGGTAGACAAAAAAAGCTCTGTTAATGTATATTCTATTCCTAGAAAACTTTGGCAAATACTGTATTTCATGTTTTTTTTTATAAAGATGGCGTTGTCATGGAGGCAAACTTTCATGCAATCATAATGACCCTGAATTTTGCAAATATCAAGTTGATGTGATAAAGAGCATATATTAATAGTATCACAGAATTTACGTTTCTGTATTTTTTCTCTGTATATCGGCAAGACAAGACTATGGCATACTACACTGACAAAATCGTTCAATTTTATTGATAAATTGTCAATATATACAAGATTAGTCGGCCAATTGGATGATTATTTTCTTTACCAGAGAAATAAAGATTCTTTACGAAGACTTATTTCTTTGCAAATATTGATATATACATGTTAAATCATTAGGCTGTTGATTTAAATAATCATGTAATTAATTAGTTGATGTTTATTCTTTCTGAAAACAAAATCATTGTATGAATTAAATGAATTTTAACTATTACAAATAGTAAATTTATATCAATATAGGTATTATTTGCTATGGTACTTTTAATAAATAATAACACCTTACTTTTTAATGTGAAAAATTACATTAATTCAAAGCATGCAACTGTAAATAAAATGCATTATATTTTTTAAGCATAGGTAAAAGTTATGCATTTTACACCAAAGTAACTCATAATGATAATTTAAGTGGTTAAAGCTAAAAATGATGGTGGATTTGTTACATGCGACTTTTTTCTGGTTTTAAACATTTGTAGAAATGTGCCCACCATAAGAAGTGAAAACTTAAAAAGTGCAAAATAATTTCTAGGAATACAGTATAGTAATTAGTACTTTGAATTTTAATCTTAAAATATTTTCAGTTTACTAATTTCTTGTTAGTTATAAGTATTTTGATTGTAAGTGTGGTTTCTTTTTGTGGTATTTTAGTTGCACAAACACTTTATAAGGTCATATGGAGACTTTTCAGTGTGAATGGTGGAGTAAGACCTCAGGTTCCCCTTAGTGTATCATTTCTGGCTCAAGTTGGTTACTGAGTAGAACCACTGAAATTCAGGAAGCTATGTGGATAGCTTCCTCACAGCTTTTCACATGAAAGTATGTAAAAACCCTGGTGGGACTCGAACTCCCAGTGTAAAGGGGAGAGTGATTTGAAGTCAAATGACCTTAACCACTTGACCATGGATCCCCCCGTAGGGATTAAGGGATATTTTTAGAAGGGTATTATTACTCTTATTCTCTTATTAGTAGACTGCACTAGTGTGACCTAGGAAATTTGTTAGTATGACAATAGCATTCAGGTAGGAAAATAATCTGCTTCATGACAGATTTAAGTATCATTATACCCAGAAACAAAGATTGCGGGGGGTACCCAGAAACAAAGATTTGGGGGGGGGGGGGGGGGGTGGCGTTGGGGTATATAAGAGTCACCCGGTGGTTGGTCGGTCTGTTGGTTGGTCCGCAGTCCGTTGCATTTTCCTTGTCCAGAGCATAACTTGAAGTCTAATGGTTGGAATTCAATACAACTTCATACAAAGGTCGACCACATTGAGAGGAAGTGCAGTGCACAAGAACCATAACTCTGTCCAAAGTAATTATAAAGTGATTGTCCTTTGTTTCTTTTCCTTGTTGCAGAGCATAACATGAAATCTACTGGTTTGAATTCAATATAAGTTCTTACAATGGTCAAATATATTTAGAGGAAGCGCAGTGCACAGGAACCGTAACTCTTTCTTGACTCATTTTAGAGTAATATACCTTAGTTTCTTTTTAATATCCAGTGAATAACTTGAAAATTAATAAATTCTGTGCAACTTCATACAATGGTCAAGTGCAGTGAGATGAAGTGAATTCACATGAACCATAACTCTATTTGGACTAATTACATAATTATTGCCCTTTGTTACCTTTTCTTGTCCAGTACTTAACTTGAAAACTTGTAGTTGGAATTCAATATACAACTTCATACAATGGTTAAGCGCAATGAGAGGAAGTGCATGGCACAATAACTCCATCTCCAGTATTTGCTGAGTTATTGCCCTTTTTTCCTTTTTTTTTTGTCTGGTGCATAACTTAAAAACTAATGTTTGGAATTCAATGCAACTTCATACAATGTTCAATGAGAGGAAGTGCAGAGCTCAAGAACTGTAACTCTATCTGGACTTATTACAGAGTAATTCAATAAAACATCATCAATGGTCAACCACAAAGAAAGGAATAGCAACATACAAGAACCTCAACTATCTATTATTGCCCACAACCATAACTCTATTTCAATTCTTTTACAAGGTATTCTGTTACTAGTAACTTCCTCATTTTAGAAGCAGTCTTGCGGGGGTATTAATCACATTTAGTGATAACTCTAGTTTTCTTTTTACAAGTATAGGACATGATAAGTAGGGAATGCTGCTTGTCTATTGTACGGATTTTACATCAAACTGTTATGATTGATTTATGTCAGCATTACAACTAGTACAGTTAGTTACTTATGATAGCTTGAATGTTACATGATTTTATAACAACTATTTCCTACTAGATCTAATTTTTTTTCAGAAACTAGCCGTTTTCTTCCAGTCTAAAACATTTAGAAGTGGCTTGTCAGCAGTGAGTATATAATTTTCACTTGGTTTACTTGTTACATTTACCATGGTTTCACACAGAATGTTTCTTAATCAAATTGCCAATTTGATATTATGTGTGGTTGAAGCAAATTTCCTTTTAAACTCTTTATTTGTGGTTGCTCTGTTGCATTGTTACTGAGCTACAAAGGAAGTTTAAATAATTATGAATTAAGTTATAAATTCTTGTTAAATTGTGTTTAAAATGAATAGATAATATAAGAATAGATAGAAGACATTTATTGGAATAAAAATAAGTATGTATGCTTGACTACAAAGAATAAATTTTACTGAACACAAAGGTTTGGATCCACTGACAGTTTTGTTGCCTAATTTGCTCCTATAGAATAATGATTTCTCAGTGGGATGGGTTGGATGTAGATAAATATTTAACATGAGGAAGTTATACATCTTCTAGAAGGGCAACAGTTCTAGCCAAGTGCCAACATAGATGAAACAATGATAAACATACATGACCCTGTCTTACCCTGCTACATTAGTGTACATACATGGCTCTGTCCTACCCTGCTACATTAATGTACATATGTGACCCTTGTCTACCCTGCTTCATTAATGTACATACATGACCCTGTCTTACCCTGGTACATTAATGTACATACATGACCCTGTCTTACCCTGCTAAATTAATGTACATACATGACCCTGTCTAACCCTGCTACATTAATGAACAGATGTGACTCTGTCTAACCCTGCTGCATTAATGTACATACATGACTCTGTCTTACCCTGCTACATTAATGTACATACATGACCCTGCTGCATTAAATGTACATACATGACCCTGTCTTACCCTGCTGCATTAATGTACATACATGACCCTGTCTTACCATGCTGCATTAATGTACATACATGACTCTGTCTAACCCTGCTACATTAATGAACAGATGTGACTCTGTCTAACCCTGCTGCATTAATATACATACATGACTCTGTCTTACCCTGCTACATTAATGTACATACATGACCCTGCTGCATTAATGTACATACATGACCCTGTCTTACCCTGCTGCATTAATGTACATACATGACCCTGTCTTACCATGCTGCATTAATGTACATACATGACCCTGTCTTACCCTGCTGCATTAATGTACATACATGACCCTGTCTTACCCTGCTGCATTAATGTACATACATGACCCTGTCTTACCATGCTACATTAATATACATATGTGACCCTGTCTTACCCTGCTACATTAATGTACATACATGACCCTGTCTTACCATGCTGCATTAATGTACATACATGACTCTGTCTAACCCTGCTACATTAATATACAGATGTGACCCCGTCTTACCCTGCTACATTAATATGCATATGTGACCCTGTCTTACACAGCTACATTATTCATACATAGAGGATATTGAGTGAGTGTAGGTTTAATACTAAATATATTTAACAAGTTGAATAAAATTATATTATGCGAGCCTCTGGAGAGTATAATATTGTTTTATTCAACAGGTTCAATAAATTTAGTATTAAACCTACACTAATATAATATTCTATTTGTCACATATATAAAATAAGAACATTTAACTGTAAAAAAGAGTCATTTTTCATTGACGCGCCTATAGTATAACCCTACATTCATCGCGCTTTTACGCTATGTTTATATATATCGCTAACTATTTCACGTCAGAGTGTTATTACACTAGTGTAATATCGTTTTTATTTAAATGGCTTTATTGCACTCCTGCGCTGCGGTTTATGTGATAAATTTAAGTTTGGTCTATCCTTTGTTAGAGTGGTCAGTGTCAAAATCGTATACTTAACTATAGCAACTCACTGTATAGATAGGTCAGACTTTGTGGATGTGTTTACTAGCCCAACCTTAACTTTACAACATACTCCTACTGTTATTGTTACAAGTTTTCAAAGAGTTTTATAAAGTTTGTTATCTTTTATTGATTTTTTAATAAGAGTATTTAATTCTTTTTGTTTGCATCAATTTTCAGGGCATTTTAGAAAAATTTAATAGTATAGGGCCAGAGATGGGACATCAGTTATATATATATCAACGATTAATGTTGAATATGTATGAAGGTAGAATGAACACAGGTGTAAATGTTAATGACGCTGCACAGGTAAGCTGTTTGAGCTTTTTAAAATTGAAAAAAAAAATGCAATCATACAAAATCATTTTCTACTGAAAGTTGAAAATATTTTTTATGAAGATTTGTTATTGAAAAACTAATTTTGACAATAGATCTATACATTTTATTTGGATTTATAGAAAGAAAAAAGCTTGAGCTAAAAACAATATTTTATACAACATCATGGATTATTAACAGTAACTTTTAATCAACTTATGAAAATTTAATAAATATTACACTGCAATGAGGACAGTTGGCCAGCTCACAAACAGTAAATAACAGCTTAGATCTATTCAGTATTTATTAGGGCTGTCTATGGGGTCAAAGTAATGCAATGAAATTCAAAGCACTGTGTATTATTTCTTACATTATACATTTGTAAGAACAAAAGATAAAGATTTCTATGAGGAAAGAAATTATATTGTTTACTTGTAAGCAATAACATTTCACTTGTAATGGAAAATTTTCAGCTGGCAACTGTTGTATAGTCTACTTCTGTAAAATGATTTTAAAATGAATATCTCTAATTCTAATGAGTCTGATATTCTAAACAGGTGGCCAGTGTAAATAAATCTATTGAAGACCTGAGGAAGGTAGCGTTTGACTTCTCAGATATAGCCGAAGTTACTTCAGGACAGGCTAGGAAGTCGGCCATTTCTAAAGATCTGAAGAAATTAGGTTTTGCTGTAAGTTGTATTTGTACTGTTTCATGGATTTCTTTAGTTGAAATATGAAGTTGATAAATGCTTTCAATTTATTTACTCATGTGGATTTGTGTATACATATTACAAGCAAAGGAGTAAAGTTTATTAGGAAATTTTTATTAGGAAATTTTTATTTGCATAAATAGTCAGTCATGTTTTACAATGTAAATGAGATCTAAGTAATAATTTTTGCATGCAAGTAAAGTTCATTAGAAAATTTGTATGTGCATTGAGAAAAATATCACTTTATCATTAGAAAAATTATACTTTCACTAGTGCTTCTTGTCTATGTAATAATTTTAAATGTTCCCAATCTGTCTGTGTAAAATTATTTTTTATCAAGACACAAAATATATTTGAGCCGTGCCACGACAAAACCAACATAATGGGTTTGCGACCAGCATGGATCCAGACCAGCCTGCGCATCCAGGATCCATGCTGTTCGCTATCAGTTTCTCTACTTGTAATAGGGTTGGTAAGCGAACAGCATGGATCCTGATCAGACTGCGCAGATGCGCAGGCTGGTCTGGATCCATGCTGGTTGGCAACCCATTATGTTGGTTTTGTCATGACACGGCTCATTTTATGTTTATTTATCTAGAATCAAACTGAGCCCGTTCAGGACTTTGAGGCGGCACCACCAGGATTGTTAGCTTTAGATAATATGACCTATTTTGCACAAGTACATAAAGAATCCTATATCAAGGTGAGATATTTTTTTTGTTTTCTACAGTCTACATATATGACATGCTGGTAGATGAAGGTTTTATATGGCAGCCACTGTTTATATAAGACCTTATAAAACTGCATGTTTATAACGTCACTTTTCATTGGATAATAGTGACGTTTGTATAGTTTCATATACACAGCTGCTGTCGATTTATGAAGAAAACTCGCTTTATTCCTCTAAAAATGATGCTTGCTGTATTATAAATTTGTTATAAATATTTCTGACAGGTAATATGGCCGTATATAAAGGGTTATTTGCAATATATATGTATTGACAAACAACCATTTATATAGGGCCATATAATGTGTCAAAAATATTTATGACTAATAATATAACCTGTGAAAAGTATTTTTATCAAATATATAATACTGTATTTTTAGTATGGATTTCTTAGATTTTAAAAGAAAATTAAATCTCATTTTCCTACCGGCTGAAAAACAACAAAAAAACATGAAAATTAACCCTTAAAGGGGGCTGGGAAAAATCTTAACCCTTTGCCACCTTTTATAGACCCGGGCCCGACTGCACATCCCGGAGCTGACCAGGCCCAACTGTTGGTGACAACTTTTTAAAAATTAAATTGTATCCCTAAAATTGATTGGACAGTCCCAAAGGAAATACAAAACCATTTAAAAAATTCAGCCTTTCAGGTTAAAATAGTAATTTTTATATTTAAATTTAACCAATAAGTTTGTTTTATATTTAAAAAAATAATCCCGAGCAAATTTACAATGGCAAAAACATTTTGTTATCCCCACAATTTACAGAGTTGAGGGGATAGACTTTTTTCCTTGCCTTAAGGGATTACCGTAGACTGACAAAATAAGGTGTCGGGAATCCCTGCCTATGGACACACTTTTATTAAAAGATTTCATATAATCCTGTATGAACAATAAAAACTTGATTGTATTATCATTGAAAATCTTTTATATTTCTTATTCAGAAATATTGCATTTAGAATTGATTTTGTTTTCATAATCATATTATTATGATTGAATATTAAATTTTATATCAAACACTGCTTACATATTGTTCAACAAAATTTATAACATGAAATATTTTTTTCATCTTCGGGTATTTACAAAATATTAATTATAATTCATGTTTTTAACAGCCCAAAATTCTATATATGCTGCAAATAATATAAAATGAATGTTACTATGACTATTTTATAATTTGATGTGTTATATTATGACAGGTTGTTCTAGAGAACTGTGGGCGAGCCAACGAGCAAGATTGTCCATTTGTACAGGCCAGTATCAAACTTACCAAAATACTCTGTGATCTGTTAAAGATTGGAGAAAGTTGTTAGTACACTTATTGTTTGTTTGTTTGGTTGGTTTAACGGTGCACCACTCAGTTTAGACCATATGGCTCTGAAACAGGAAAGATGATTTTGGCTAGTCTCAGGTGTTACAAACTTTAACCCATTACTTCATATACACGCCTTTTAACGCCTTTTTCACCCCCCCCCCCTTTTTGTTGTCTCAAATGATGAAAAATGCCTTATCCAGGCCCTAAACACTTGTTTTTGTTTGAGAAATGTTGTTAAAAAAATTGACCTCTTTTTCGGCGCGGCCCCCCAACCAAAAGATACATCAGGGGGTTGCCAGAAGGGGGATGTGCCCCCTTCTGTTTTGGGGGGTTTGAAGGGGGGCGGAGTCGCCCTCATCGCCAAGAAAATTTTGGACTTGTGAGAGGCTGTAAATGACCCCAGATTGATCATAAGGTAACGTGTAACCAACGCTGAAAAGCATTTGACTCTATCTCAATCCATTGATAAGTTGCAGCATTTGGAAATCAATTTTGATGGAAAAAATCAACGCAAAATAGTGATTTTTGGCAATTTTGAGATGTCCCCTCGTTGCCATGGTAACAGAAAATTTAAGTCTGAGCATGTTGTTGCAAGGACAATGGTTCAGTCAACATTTGTGCCAAGTTTGATTAGTGTTGAAGCAGTTTTTATAGTATTATAGCAATTTGAACTTGTAACGGGAGACTTTTCAATGAAAACAGCCATTTTTCACAAAATGCTCATGAAGCAATGGGTTAATGAAAAAAAATAAAAAAATCTACAAAACAACAATTTTCTTCAAATTTATATGACAGGCCATGTTTAAACATGAAAAAACGCGATTTAGGGTAATTTCAAGTATTTTCATCATTTTCAGTTAACCCATTACTTCATATACACGCCTTTTAACGCCTTTTTCACCCCCCCCCCCCTTTTTGTTGTCTCAAATGATGAAAAAATGCCTTATCCAGGCCCTAAACACTTGTTTTTGTTTGAGAAATGTTGTTAAAAAAATTGACCTCTTTTTCGGCGCGGCCCCCCAACCAAAAGATACATCAGGGGGTTGCCAGAAGGGGGATGTGCCCCCTTCTGTTTTGGGGGGTTTGAAGGGGGGCGGAGTCCCCCTCATCGCCAAGAAAATTTTGGACTTGTGAGAGGCTGTAAATGACCCCAGATTGATCATAAGGTAACGTGTAACCAACGCTGAAAAGCATTTGACTCTATCTCAATCCATTGATAAGTTGCAGCATTTGGAAATCAATTTTGATGGAAAAAATCAACGCAAAATAGTGATTTTTGGCAATTTTGAGATGTCCCCTCGTTGCCATGGTAACAGAAAATTTAAGTCTGAGCATGTTGTTGCAAGGACAATGGTTCAGTCAACATTTGTGCCAAGTTTGATTAGTGTTGAAGCAGTTTTTATAGTATTATAGCAATTTGAACTTGTAACGGGAGACTTTTCAATGAAAACAGCCATTTTTCACAAAATGCTCATGAAGCAATGGGTTAAAGCAACACTAAGGGTTGACACTTATTATACAAACATAAAGTAAAATGCATTTACAATCAATCTTGTGCTAAAAGACCACCTCTATAAATACACTAGTTGAGTTACCTAAAATCTGCCTATGAGTATCAGCAATTACAATTTAATAAGTTACTGTATAATATTATAGTATAATATTATCTTTTAAGCTCACCTCGGCGCAATATTTTGTTATCAAAACTCCTATACCATCACCCTATACTTGTCTGATTGACAGTAGTTATATGAGCCGCGTCTTGACAAAACCAACATAGTGCGTTTGCGACCAGCATGGATCCAGACCAGCCTGCGCATCAGCGCAGTCTGATCAGGATCCATGCTGTTCGCTTACCAACTCTATTACAAGTAGAGAAACTGATAGCATCAGCATGGATCCTGATCAGACTGCGCGGATGCGCAGGCTGGTCTGGATCCATGCTGGTCGCAAACCCATTATGTTGGTTTTGTCGTGACGCGGCTAGTATCTTTTGTGTCTATGTGTGAGTGGGTAACATCGCTGACTCTTTACTGCTGTATATCCTGAGACTTCCATGTAGGGAAGTCAAACAGTTAGCTTCTGTAATGTCAGTGGCTCTAGCTAGATAAAGTGTGAACATATTCTTTGGAGTGCATGTTAGATTGAAAGTCTCCAACAGTGAGGAATATACAAAATTAAAAAACGATATATCGCAAGATTAAATTTAATGCGGAATAGAATGCAACAAGTATATTATATTCCATTTTACTGACATTATAATTATAATACATGTAATTATAATGTTGTTATATTTCAGTGTATGATGATGAACACTTTTATTACCCCATGTTTTTCTATGTTGATAAACCAGTGGAAGAATTCTTCTCATATTGTATACAAACACTAAATAGAACATGGAAAGAAATGAGGGCTTCCAAAGAAGATTTTTCTAAGGTAAGTTCTGTTTTTTCTTGAAATGTTTACTTTTAAAGGGACTCCACTGAAGTTTATGGCCTGACAGGGCTGGAAATATTTTTTTGAGTATTTGTGTATCATTTGATGTAGGTATGCACCAATAACTTATGTACATATTTTTAGATCATTCCCTTGCCTTGTTTTCCCAAAATAATTGTTTTTATTGTGCAAAATGACCCAAAAAATGAAAATCGTTACAATGCTTTTCACTCAAATTTCAATGCTTTTCACTCAAATTTGGCGAAGAATCACTAAAAAAATTGATAATTGCAATCCTTAGATAACAAGTGTGATGCATTGACCACCCAGTTTCATTAGTTGTAAAGTTGTTTCAATAGTTTTAAAGTTGTTTCTTATAAAAAAAACTAAAATTAAACAGCTGCCTGTATAGTCTGATAAATTTCTAAAGGTTTGATTGGTTATTTACTGGTATCATAGATAAGGTGCTTGTGCTAGCATTTAACCAGTTAAAGTCTGAAAATCTTCCAAATTATCATAATTTTCATCACTTGTTTAACTCTTATCATAAGTTATGGAAATAGGAACAATAATGTTTTTTTTTTTTGTAAATTGAATTATTTTTATCTTAATATTGTTTTCTGCACATAAAGGTGTTTCTTTTACATAGAATGTTTTTATATAATTCCTGTCTGCTATTGATGTAGAATACAGTTAATGTTTTATACATTTGCAGGTATTGAGTGTTGTAAATGAGCAGATTACTCGTGCATTAGACAAGAATCAAATGCCAAAGTCATTTGATCAGTTCAAGAGCAAAGTTGCGAATCTAGCATACCCAGAGTTGAAGAAAATATGGGAGGCAGAAAGGCAGAAAAAAGATGAAAGCAAAGCTCAGGCTAAACCAATATTGTAAGTTGAGCGTTCACCCTGCTGACTTGAGTACACTGTAACTCAGTAACGGTTGTAATAATCTCTAACCCAAGCTTTACTGTTTGGAGAATAGGGTGCAAGCTTTTGTACTCACCATGACGTTGGTGTCCACGTCACATTTTGTTGGCTTTTTTGGTACAAGTTGCTATCACCAAAATTACAAAAGGGAATGAGTTGGAACATCACACACTTATTTGAGAGCATAATAGGAGGTCACTGTCCAAGGCCAGTGACTCTAACATGGATTTTGACAGAATCATTGCCCTTTTTGGACTTGGAAAATTCTAGATTATCCAGGCTCTTGTTATACTATCAAGCACTGAGAATAGTCATTCTGACAGCTCTTGTTTCATTGCAGATAATTATATTGATTATATTTAGATTATACACATTAAAGACAAAAATTTCTTTTAAAATGAAATGTTTGATTGTAAGAGAATTGGATTTTATGTTGACATATTTTTGTGATGATTTCAGAGAACTTAGAGAGATCATTAAACCCGAGATAACAGAGTTGATACGTAAACACCGACTTACATACCTAGAAGGTGGATCAAGATTCCCAAAGTTTGATAACAGGGGAAACAGAATAAAAAGTATGCATCATTCATATTAAAAAGAAACAATTTCCTGTAGTTTATTCATTATTTTGCATAGACAGTTATAGGAAAATTTAAGGTAGTGAACAAAATTTTCTTAAACCTGTGTACTTTAAGAGAATCAAATCTGAAACAAATTTATCAGAAAAAAATGAAGTTCATATCACACTAGGGCATTGAAGTCAAGAAAGGTTCTTGTTTATACCCTTATATGGACATTGACTCATAAAATTAGGTCAATGGAGTTTCTACCCTAATAATTCCCTGTCAGTGATGCTGGAAAAATTGTCATGGACACTTGGACAAAGACCACCTCTTAACGAAAGTCACATTTCTCTTGAGGACGGTCATTATAGACAGGTTAAAATGTAAATTAGAGAGTAATGAGTGATTATATAATAAATGTAGGTCTTGTAGGAAGCAAATATTTTCAAGAAATAGGAGAAACAATAGGGGATTGAAATGGTGACATCGGAATTTTTTGTTAAACAAAATTATTTCATGACCATGTACCTGTATGAGGGTAATAATTTAGGTTTTCGGTACATGGTATTTTTATTTAACCATTTATGACTTCTGTGGGAAACTTAATTGATTGAAGTAGACTTAACCTTTACCGAAAGCTTCTATAGGGTCTAGTTTACTTGGTATTATAGTAATATACTTTTAATTGTCATAATGGGTTACAGGTGTAAGATTTTAGTTCAAACAACATTCTGATTGACAACTTTCCTAATACATACTTGATGATTTTCTGGTTTTTGTATCATAGAATCTAATGACCAATCTATCATTATGACTTCATTTAGGTTTTAATATAAAACATGGGGGGCACAACAATTCTGGTAAGATGTATTGTCGATTGTTTAACAAGGATTAAATTTTGTTATTTGGAGAAGTTTGTTTTGCAGAATATACAACATAATGTCATATTAACAAACATCATAAATGCTTTGTTTTTTGCAGAGTTTAATTACATCATGCAGATTTTAATTTCATTTAAGACAGAACATGTACATATATATATAAAATGACTTGAAGTGCAAATGTCTTAATCAAGTAACTGCGCTGCTGTTGTTGTTGTTTTTTTTGTTGTTGTTTTTTTTTTTTCAAATAATTTTCATTTATTCCTGCATTCTTCTAATAATGGTAACAAAAAAAAAACTCAATGATACAGAGCTTTTCTCATTTCTAGATAAAACAGTCATAAATTTTATTCTTGTATAGTAAAATGATGCTTTTATTGACTGATTATATTTTTTTTAAATAAGTTGATTGGCCAAAAGTTTGGTTTCCACTGATATTATTTAAATCTCTGTATCAGTAAGTTTGTTGTCATGGTTACCATTATATTCATGTCAGTAAATCTGCATGTCCTCTTACAGCATCACAGAGAGGTAAGTTTTGTACATAAACATGCTATTACCAAATTAATCAGAAAGCAAATATTGCTGATTTTTTGGTCCTTTTTGCTGCAAATTCTGTAGAAAATACAACTGTTTTACTTTAGAAGTGGTTAATTTTAAACAGATTATTCTTTTGTTATATCCCACAAACACTCAAAATATTGTTATATCCCACAAACACTCAAAATATTGTTATATATCACAAACACTCAAAATATTGTTATATCCCACAAACATTCAAAAAATTGTTACATCCCACGAACACACAAAATATTGCTATATCCCACAAATACTCAAAATATTGATATATCAGACAAACACTCAAAATATTGTTATATCCCACAGACACCTAAAATATTGTTATATCCCACAAACACTCAAAATATTGTTATATCCCACAAACACTCAAAATATTGTTATATCCCACAAACACTCAAAATATTGTTATATCCCATGAACACACAAAATATTGTTATATCCCACAAACACTCAAAATATTGTTATATCCCACAAACACTCAAAATATTGTTATATCCCACAAACACTCAAAATATTGTTATAACCCACAAACACTCAAACACAAATACTCAAAATATTGTTATAACCCACAAACACTCAAGATATTGTTATATCCAACAAACACTAAAAATATTGTTATATCCATCAAACACTCAAAATATTGTTATATCCCACAAACACTCAAAATATTGTTATATCCCACAGACAATCAAAATATTGTTATATATCACAAACACTCAAAATATTGTTATATCCCACAAACACTCAAAAAATTGTTACATCCCACGAACACACAAAATATATCACAAACACTCAAAATATTGTTATATCCCACAAATACTCAAAATATTGTTATATCCCACAAACACTCAAAATATTGTTATATCCCACAAACACTCAAAATATTGTTATATCCCACAAACACTCAAAATATTGTTATATCCCACAAACACTCAAAATATTGTTATATCCCACAAACACTCAAAATATTGTTATATCCCACAAACACTCAAAATATTGTTATATCCCACAAACACTCAAAATATTGTTATATCCCACAAACACTCAAAATATTGTTATATCCCACAAACACTCAAAATATTGTTATATCCCACAAACACCTAAAATATTGTTATATCCCACAAACACTCAAAATATTGTTATATCCCACAAACACTCAAAATATTGTTATATCCCATAAACACACAAAATATATCACAAACACTCAAAATATTGTTATATCCCACAAACACTCAATTGTTACATCCCACAAACACAGAGCTCCAGATAATTATTTTGGCCAAGGGGTTTTTACCCCTCAAAATTTAGAGCGAGGGGTAAAATGTAAAATTTGAAAAACTTAAGGGGTAAAATCTGTCAAAAAAGCATTTTGCATTTTTTATAAACAAATTAAACTTATTGTTTTTGTTTGTTTGTTTGTTTATTTTCTTTTTTTAAGAAAAACCTTTAAAAACAAAATACTGATTCAATGTGAAGCAATACAAAACATGCCCTGTAAAGTCAGACTTCCAGAGTATACTGGAACTCAAGTTTAGGATACAGAGCAAAATTATCAGGGCTTCCATTTTCAATATTTGGAAGTCAAAGACTTCAAAATCTCTGATATTGAAGGTCACATTATATTGGTAAAGAAGGAAAAGTATTAGATTTTCGGAAGTCACATGCCAAAATGAAGGAGTAAATGAGTCCCAAACTTCCACTATTGGAAGCCCTGAAATAAATATATTTTCTAGGAGTCAATATTTTTCTTTCTTTATTTCTGTTGGCATGTAGCTTATCATATGCTCCAGTTTGAACAATTATAGTTGAAATTAAAATTAAAAAAAAAAACAGATTTTTTATCTTTCCCTTAAAAAAAGTATTGGTCTGAGAGAAAATTGTCCGTAACTGTAGACTGGGTACGAAAATATTGATTACAAACTGCAGGTGAAAAACATGTTATTTTGTTTCAACAACAAAAGTGAAAAGAAATTAAAATATATTTTTGTTTATATGAGACATAAGCATGTCAATAGATGACTAAACAAACTTAATACTATGTTAACTCCTACGATGATTATCTGGCAAAAATTTATATCAATAATTTCACAGGTTGATCTACGGGAGTTACACTCTTCTCTTCTGTACTTCCTGCTACTTTCGTTTTTAACATGCGTTGTTGACAACAGAACTTTTAGTTTTCAATGCAATAAAATGGAAATATATTGTATTTTTATGCTCAAAACATCCTCTATCTGAATATCAAATGTTTACACTTCTATTCTTTTACGCTTAAATTTTGACATACAAGCGTATTTTCATTTTGTTGTGCGTAACTTTGACGCACGAATTTTGAAAGTGATGTGTATTTTAGATTTTCCATGCGTATTTTACGCTTATACGCACGCTATCTGGAGCTCTGCAAACACACAAAATATTGTCATATCCCACAAACACTCAAAATATTGAAATATCCCACAAACACTCAAAATATTGTTATATCCCACAAACACTCAAAATATTGTTATATATCACAAACACTCAAAATATTGTTATATCCCACAAACACTCAAAATATTGTTATATCCCACAAACACTCAAAATATTGTTATATCCCACAAACACTCAAAATATTGTTTATATCCCACAAACACTCAAAAATTGTTACATCCCACGAACAACAAAAAATATTGTTATATCCCACAATACTCAAAAAATTGTTACATCCCACGAACACACAAATATTGTTATATCCAACAAAATACTCAAAATATTGATTATAATCAGACAACCACTCAAAATATTGTTATATCCCACAGACACCCTAAAATATTGTTTATATCCCACAAACACTCAAAAATATTGTTATATCCCACAAACACTCAAATATGTTGTTATATCCCACAAACACTCAAAATATTGTTATATCCCACAACACTCCAAAAAATTGTTATATCCCAACACTCAAAATATTGTTATTCCCACAAAACATCAAAATATTGTTATATTCCCACAAACACTCAAAATATTGTTTATAACCACAAACACTCAAAATATTGTTATACCCACAAACACTAAAAAAATATTGTTATATATCACAAACACTCAAAATATTGTTATATCCCACAAACACTCAAAATATTGTTATAACCCACAAACACTCAAAATATTGTTATATATCACAAATGCTCAAACACAAACACTCAAAATATTGTTATAACCCACAAACACTCAAAATATTGTTATATATCACAAACACTCAAAATATTGTTATATCCCACAAACACTCAAAATATTGTTATAACCCACAAACACTCAAAATATTGTTATATATCACAAATGCTCAAACACAAACACTCAAAATATTGTTATATCCCACAAACACTCAAAATATTGTTATATCCCACAAACACTCAAAATATTGTTATATCCCACAAACACTCAAAATATTGTTATATCCCACAAACACTCAAAATATTGTTATAACCCACAAACACTCAAAATATTGTTATAACCCACAAACACTCAAAATATTGTTATATCCCACAAACACTCAAAATATTGTTATATCCCACAAACACTCAAAATATTGTTATATATCACAAATGCTCAATCACAAACACTCAAAATATTGTTATATCCAACAAACACTAAAAATTTTGTTATATCCCACAAACACTCAAAATATTGTTATATCAATGCATAATGTATCACAAATAGGTTTCTCTATTCCTTATAGTCACTATGGCAAAATTAAATGGATTTCTTAGGAAATCTTCTTTCCAATTTGTGTGTAGTTTTGACATGTATTTATTGTACTTTTTACATGTATTTATTGTACTTTTTACATGTATTTTATGTAGTAAATTATATTGTAGTTTTGAAAATAGGGAAATTTTTTTGTTATGATTTGAGAGTATTTTTTTTTTCTATGAAGAAATTTTCCTATAGAAGGAACAATTTGTTCACATGTTTGCTACTGTATTTCAGATCGGTATCAGTTTTGGCGACTGTCACCAAATCATAAAGCGTTCCATTATGGAGATTGTAATGAGAAAGAAGAGTTAAGTTTAGAGCAGTTACAAAATAAAGTCTCTGTCATGGAGATCAAGGAACTTGTTGTAGGCAAAAACTGTTTGCCAGTCAAAAATACCAAACGGGTATACATGTTGTTTTAATTTTCAACTTTCTAGTCTTTAAATAATATTGAATTACAGGCATTTATAATGACTTAATGAGCAGTCCACCTTCACTACTCTTTGTGTATCTTTACTCAAAATTGTAGTTTCACTTGCTAGTCAAATGATTGTTTAAATTACAAGTTGAAACACTTAAAAATTTAGAAAATGTTGGCTGTTCCCATCTTATCCAAGGGTGCAAATAAACTTTTACAGTTACAACATGGTTAAATATATTGATTATAAGAGCAATGTGTTGATAACTCTATTGTGAAGGGTAGTACACCATGAAGCTACAATGGTAAAAGTTTGTTTTTACCCCCAGATTAGATAGGAAAAAGCCACATTTGCTAAATTTAGGACAACAATAACATCTATTATCTTGTTTATAGTGTTGTTTAAGGCAAACTTAATCATATATATTACTTGAGAGGACATTAAATGTGGTAACAGAAATATTATGATCGTAATCCTGATTGTAGAATTTTTATTTCAGATGCAGCCAGAGTTGGCATTCTCTATAGTATTAGAATCATCGAGGGCTGACGATGAAGTAGCTCATCATTTCCTAGCTAACAATGATCAAGAATATATGATCTGGACTGATGGAATTAATGCACTACTTAACTGTAAAGTAAGTTAGTTTAATAGGAATCTTGAGAAGTCATATATGTATAAAGTCATGTTACTCTCAATCCACTTGCCTACAAGAATAGTGTGTAAAGTTTATGTTGCCATGAATAAGTTTTATATAAGACTGAAATATACAAAGATGTAAAAAATGAAATTTAGATCCATGATTGCCTCAGAAAGTAACAACTTGGAGTATTTTGGTTTACTTAAGAGTACTTTAGCATTTGTGTTCTTCATTAATGCAGACTAAAGCACTGTCACTTTGAAAACATTACAATGCAGGAAGTACATGTATAGGGTATACAGAAAAATGAATATATTTATAGCTTTGATGTAAACACTAAACTGACTTCCTATCAAATATTAAAGTAAAATTCGAAATATGTTGCAGCCACAAAGATTTTTTCATAAAGATTCATATATTACATATAATACATTTATAATTTATACGTATATAATAAATTGCGAAGGTTAACCGCAAGACTGTTGTAAGTCCTTCTTTATTTCATATAAGTTACTGCAGTTTTGCAGTCAACTCTTAATACAGTATTCTATTCTATGGCTTTATTTGGGCCGTTATCATTGTTTCTTTACTGATTCATGTCAACGAGAAGCAGATTTGAGAGTGGTTGAAATAATCTACCAGATTTCATCATAATCAAGCTGAAAAAAAGTGAAATGTCAAATCAGTTGTCTTAATTATATGTTTCAGATGACAAGTCAAAAGACCAGACAAGATATGGATGTATTACTAAATATGGAAGTAAAATTACGATTATTAGAAACAGAAGGAATTACAATTCCCAAGGAGCCGCCACCGATCCCACCAATGCCTGCTAACTTCAATTTTGCTTATACTACAGCCTAGCTTTAACCTGCTAACATTTATTGTGCTAAATTATTGTTATTGTATTTCCTTGCTTTCAATTTAGAACTCCCCATTGTTCACTTAAGGAATTCCAGTAGATTAGACAGCCATGTCAGACTTAATGTGTATACTGATCAGGCTAAATCTGTACTGGTAACATAGTCTGTTGTATTTGCAGCTAACATTCTGAGTTTTAAGGCACATTATGCCGCAGAAATTCAGAAATATTTTTTGTTCTTTTTGAGGAGATGCAATCATGTGTTTAATAATGTTTTAATAATAAATTTAAAACATCAAAGAGGCTTATCAGTATAGGAAAAGTAGTGCTGAATGTGAAATAAATTGTAATAAAGATAGCAAAATATAAACAAATAGTATTTCGACTTTCATACAAAAATACTAAAGCACCATAACAGTGCCAATTTCTAAACAGCAAACAAAGCTATTGGCTCATTGAGTGTTTTTTCAGATATTGCATCAGGACCTCATTACTGAAACATTTTTGATAAATTTTTGATAAATGAAAATAGCTGCATTGTAGGGGGCATAATGGGCCTTTAAAATAACAAATCTCGTCTACTTTTTGAGGAAATGTTGTTTCAGAATAAGACTACAGTATCTGTATATGAAAGTTTGTACACACTTGTAGTAGTATTGCACTGAAGTGTTTGATATTATTTTTTTTTCATTTTATAATCATTGTAACATACATGTGAAGTCTCCTACTTTAAGTGGGAGACTCCCACTTTCTGCAGCCATATTTTCAAAGATTTTTCTTAAAATAAGAGGTATTTTCACAAATTTAAGAAATTTCCCCATTTTTGGTATCAGGATTTCCTTCTTTGTTTATTGCAAATTCTAAAATCTCCCACTTTTTGAAGAAAAATCTCCCACTTGAGTTATTTTGAAATGCGCTGGCCAGGCTACAAACTGTAAAGTAAGATTTGGTGGTTGTTATAGATACTTGCAGTTTTGGGTTAAAAGAACAGATGATACAATATGATTTTATGTTCTTCTGTCATGAATAGATAGATACACATGCTAATTTGTAAATGTTTTAAATGTCAGTAACTTTACTTACTCTATTTTAAGACTTTCATCAAAACTGAATTATGAAGAAATAACCCATTCAGGCATTGTTATGTGACTGAAATTAAACTATAAACATGATTTTGCTGATTGTTGAACAAACAAAGATATTATTGAACATTTATAAGAAACAGATTAAATATAAAATTTGAAAATAAAAACAATCATAGCCAAATGTTATTTTGACTTGTACTTTCACCAGTCACACTTGGTGAGCATTATGCCACTTTAAGTTAGTTATTGGGACTTACACATATTTTGTTTAAAAGCTTTTAATGTGCAATATGTATTATATATATAATTGTATATAATATTCTTGTATACATGTTTATGATGAAATATTGACTGTTTTAACGAATTGTCTTATTTTATGTATTTTATTCAAAGTAACATACAATACTATTCTTCACTTTATATCTCTACGTTGGTGTGTATGTATAGAGTCAAATATTTGTATAATGATTACGTCTGTTAAAAAAAACAAAAAAAAACAAAAAAAACAAGATTTATATTTTTCATCAAATTGTGGTGAAGTAATTCCCCCTGTATATCCATTTTTTGACATGTATGTCTTTTCTCCACTTAGAGGGACCATTTTGTCACTTTGGTGCAGTAACAGGTTAAGTCTTTCTAAATTTAATAGGAGTTAACTAAGTCATTGCACTAAGGTGTAAGGTGTTTCTGTTTTATTACCATTGTTGTATCTATGGTAAATTTTGTCATCTTTTTTCAGGAATTTTACATTTTTTCTATAATCTATATATATATATAAATTGAGGAGACTATTTTGTGTAGTTTTGATACATCTTACGGTCACAATAAGGATCTATTTGCATGATGTTATTTCTTTTATTTTTTTTCTGCTGTACCAAATTCTTCCATTGAATGAATGCTACATACATGTATTTCTGAATGATTTAATGTAGATTGTTTATATGTTACATGATAATGTATGTGTGATATGTTTTCTACAGTTTAGTCAAAAATAGAGTTTATACAACTTTTAGTGTGCTATGGTTTTTATCGCTAATTAGTAATGTTGTGCTTTGATTGATATTATATTTAATAGTAATATGCCCTTCTCAATGGCAAAGATGATAAGATAAATGTTGTCAAATCATTCTCATTTCATAACTGTGTGCTATCAGGTTATATAGTAGAGCATGTTTGTAACGTCACTTTTTATTGGATAATATTGTGATGTTTATAGAAACTTTATACATGGCTGCTGTCAATTTATAAAGTATTTTTTTCCCCTCTTATAAGGAAAATTTGCTGTATTATGAATTTGTTATAAAGATTCTTGACAATGGCTTCAGTTATGTATGTAAACAACTGTTTGTATAGGGCAAAAAAACAACCTGTCACAAATCTTCATAACTAATAATATAGCTGTTTGTATCACGCTATTCTGTTATACTTTGATGGTTCTTTTAGTTTTCCATGTGATAAGATAAGTTATCTTGGACATTAAGACTAATGGTCAATTGTCTTCAACCTCTGAATCAGAATCTTGTGGGATTAGTAGTCTTGTCACTTGCTGAGAAATTGGAAATTACAGGTTAGTTATCAAGGAAAACAGGTCAGGTTATCTTCGGACATTTGACCAAAAAACGTGTTAAAATCTGCAAAAAAACAAAAAAACTCTTTGACTGTCTGAAGTATTCTGCCAGTACAAGTAAAATCTTGAACATCACATATGACGGTGTTAGAATTGTTAAATGATTTTATGTCGTAATTGTTGATGAAAACTGCATAATTATTACTTTTTACTGTGTATATGACACCATTCTTCATTCCATTTGTATTGTTTGTTGAAAATGATATAGAAGAGAATAAATGATCTGAAATATTATTGGTTTATGTCATTGTTTTATAAAAACTAATTGCAATAAAGAGACTTAAATATTGTTTGCAGTAAATTTGGGAAAAAAGAGAGTTGTTGAAATGTATGCAAAAGAAAAAATAATGATCTTGGTACCTTTGAGATTGTGTCACCATCATAATAAAAAGAATTCTTACATATCAGACACAATTACCTACTGCATACACCGGTGCTAGAAAACCAGTCTTACACCCTGTTTGCAAGTCATTAGTTGCATGCTGCAAATGATGTCATTCCTGAGCACCTTTTATGAATAATTTGCATTCTTGGAATGATGTCATTTTGCAGTTATGAAGGAAGTTGAAAATTCAGAGCCTTGTTACCATCTTAAACAGTTACCATTGAGGTACTTATTCCGGTCTGTACAAGATCCTTATAATATCACATTCCAGGAGATTAAATTACACAGAGGACATACATGTACTAAAATATTTTATGACCACACATGTATAAGATTTGAGCCGCATCATGACAAAACCAACATAGTGCGTTTGCGACCAGCACGGATCCAGACAAGCCTGCGTATCTGCGCAGTCTGATCAGGATCCATGCTGTTTGCTTACAAACCCTGTTACAAGAAGAGAAACTGATAGCGAACAGCATGGATCCTGATCAGACTGCGCGGATGCGCAGGCTGGTCTGGATCCATGCTGGTCACAAACCCATTATGTTGGTTTTGTCATGATGCGGCTCATATGTTAATTATACAATCTTCCACATGCGTTGTCCAGATGAAATCAAAACAAGACGGTAAGTCAAGTACCAAATACTAGTAAACATGGTTTAAAATAGTTTGTGCCTAGATTCTTGTTATGAAACTTAATTCAAAGGTTATCATAGAAATGAATTCCATGACTGAATCTTAATTATTATTTGTGCACAAAAAAAAGAACGTAAAGAAATGCAAATACATGCATTGTTTAAATTAACACAATAATTTTGATTGTATAAAGACAACTTTAAGAAAGGCATCCTGTTAACAATATGGTAAATCAAGATACTTTTATTTATGGAGCCAAGTATAAAATTGAACCAAATCTGTTTATATGATTAGATGCCATAACCACCCTCCTGTGTCAACCTCCTTTATTTCCTATAGATTTATATAGCAAAAGAAAACTGATAACACTATATAATGTACCAACAGCCTATTGTATCAAGTTTGTACTTTTCATAAATATCAATGCACTGCACTATCAATGCAGTAGTTTTGTGTTCGCTCCAAAATACAAGGGAAAATGCCAACATTTCAGTGTTAGGCTCTTTTATTTTAAGCAGTGATTTAAGCATCTGACAATCTCACAGGGCTTGGCCTTCACTAGAGAGTTGAAAATATAAAAGTCCACAGTGCAGAGCCCGCATAGCTTAATTGGTTAGAGTGCGAGACTTGTAATCTCCACATTGTGGGTTCGATTACCGGGCTGGCCATCTAAAATTAATAATCAGTCTTTTGGATGAGACTTTTAATCGAGGTCCTGTGTATGCGTGCTTAAACACTTGGCATGCTAAAGAACCAGAAGAAGCTTCTGGAATTGGGGCATCTTTCTGTATCTGTAATTGCATTATCCTCCAAAAAATAATATGACTGATACTTTTCTGGAGGACTCGCCCATATGGGCAACCGGTGGTGAGTATAAATAATCGCAAATACACCCACACACACACATTTAGTGGGGAGAATGGGCAATGGTCACACTTACTGTTGCATCTATGTATTATAAATTTCCTTCTTCAGATAATCTTTGTACTTAAATGAAAAGAAAATTGTAAAGGCCATTGCATTAAATCAACATGAATATGGAACATATAATTTCCATCAAAAAGGTATTGTTTGAACATGAAAAGTTCTATAAAGGTACTTTATTTACACAGAGTACTGATCCAAAATTCTCTATACAACTTTTCATCAACGGGGTCATATAATGTCATATTCACTCAAAATAAAGCCAACTCAGTACTGATTATTTTTCTGTTAATGAACAACCTTAGTAATCATCACAGAGACACGTAAAAGTTACATTTTTGTACTTTGTGATTCAGAAAATGTTCTAATTGAACATGTGGTATGCTTCAAGTACTTTGATACTGATTACCTCCCTTTAGTAGTCACATGGCCTGATAAAGTCACATGACCATGCCGGTACACCACTACTGTGTCACATGACCAAACTGTTACAAAAGCGACAAAAGGAAGAGGCTGAGAGTAAGTAGTTTAAGTGGTTTGTTGTTATTATTGTGAATTTGTAGGAGTTTTGTTGAATTGGTTTCAGATAGATTTAGTGAATCGTTGACAAAGGTAAGAAATATTTTATCAATGCATGGAGAGCTTATAAGTTTCTAAACAAAATAATGCAAGTTCTCAAGTTCTTTGATTTAGAGATAGCAAATTAATATATCATTTTTTGTATTTTTTGAAATTTTCTTCTTGCTTAAAGGGACTCCACTGTGGTTTTTGGCATGACTCTTGTCTGGAATTATTTTTCCGGAATTGTGTACAATTTGATGTGTAGGTCTACTTAAAAATCTAATTAGCTGGACCATAGAGTCTACTGAAGTTTCAATATTTCCACTGCAAGACCAACTGATTTTACATAGATGTCAGAATTTGCAGAGGGCGACTATTGTCTATAAAATAAAAAGTCCTGGCACACAATTTTTTGGGCTAAACACTCTGAAACTGATATGTTTTTAAATTGTAAATTTTTCATTTTTGATTTATGTTAAGGTTTCAAATTTTATGTTCTCAGGTTTTTTTTTAACTTAGTGGAGTCCCTAAATAGAAATTCAACCTGAAAAAAAAATCTGATGCACTGATTGGGGATAATGAAACCCGATACCTCTAGATTACCAATAAGGTGCATGGATACTCCTTGAGATTTCTACAGGGTAACTCAACACCAAGGATGTTTGTGACATGCTAGAAGTACACCCAAATTGCACTTAATCATTGTCATCAATACATTTTAAAACTGATTTTCATTGAAGTTACATACGTTTAAAATCCCAAGGCACTGATAGGGGGATAAAATTTAAACATTTTTTTGTTTCCAAGGAGTAGCTAGGCAGTTACTCAACCATCTTGCTTAAGGAATATAGCAAGCAAGGAAATAGACTGTACCTTAATAACAAACTTGATTGCTTTTAGTACACAAAAATCTCTATTTTCAAGTCTTTCAATTAAGGTACACTATACTTTTGTGTGGTTTTAGTTAATTAATGTGTACTTGAATTTAAAATAAAGATAACATTTGATCAAGTTGTGATTATGTAGCACAAAGTTGGTGTTTAAATGTTTTAAAGAATTTTAAATGTAATGTATGCAGTAAAAGAGACCAAAATGTTTGAAGTAAATAATGAAGAATCTTAGTTCTAAATTTTGTACATGATTTTTCTATACATAATTATATTGTAACATGAAATAACTTGTCAGAAGAGTTTGATAAATTATGAAATATCAAGGTTTAATCATTCAGTCATGTGTATCACAAAGTACATGTACACACAGACACTTGGAGTATAGACTCCGCCCTTCTCTGCCCCTGAATATAAAAAACTAAAAGTATTATCTATTACAAGAATTAGTTTTAAATTTTTGCTTATATTAGAATGAGACGGTTAAGTGTCTAACACGTGAACAAGTTTGAATAGAATTTCATAACGTTTTAAAAAAGTCAATTTTTTACCAACGCTTCAATTTCCTGAAATTATGATATTTTAGAGACTTTTTTAAACAATGTTAAAATAGCGAAAAACAAGTTTTATGTTCAAGACATGTGACCAGGTAGTAATAGTTACATGCAAAAATATTTTGACGTACGGTTTGCACGATAAAGGTAGACATGGTGAATACAAGTGCTGATCACGCACATAACCCCAAGTGTCTGTGCATGTACATAAGAACTCATTGACATAATTGCTCAAGGTAGCCCGGGGTTCTATGATATCACGGTACTTAACGTTTATCGGAAAATATTTAAATATAAATATCATAAGTGAGTGAGATTTTTCTTCCATCTTTTAATTGAACCTTTTCCAGAATTGTTTGTCAAAAAATTATTTCAAAAGAACCAATAAAAATAACATTTTTTAGAATAGTTTGAATGTCTGCCATTTTGGGTAACTTCAGAGGAGGTTACTACGGTATCAAGGTAATCCCCCAAAAAAGTAAGTATGGAAGGATAGAAGTGTCAAAACTTTCAAGTTAAGTTGTGAAAAACTTCCAACAGTTAACTTGCTATAAAATTAAAACTATATGAACAGACTATATGTCAGTATATGTGTTTATAACATATTTTAATTGACTGTGTAAAAACCATTAAGGAAAATGGTAGTCAAATATGAAGATTTTATAAAATAGTTTTCTTGTCACAAATACATTCATTATTCACCTAATTAAATTTATTTGCAGATGAAAATGAATCTAGTGTGCAAGTTTTACAAATATTAGCATCATCATGTGTTGACTTTACTAGCAGTCACAGAAAATTTATATACCTTGATATCATAGAACCCTTGATATCATAGGAACCAAGTATACATGCGTCTACATAGTTTGCATTAGGTTATATAATAGATTCATTGTATTGATACAAAACAACTTTGCTTTTTAAAGATAAATTTTCTATAATAAAGCATTAGGAAGTAAATAACTAGATTCTCATCTAAATTTTGGGGAAAAATGGGACAGGTGTGTGGGTTTCTCAATATGTTTCTATACATAAGAAGGGCAAACAAATTGGTTGTTTAAAATTACATAGAATAAAATCAATGTTTGATTTGATTGACTGATACATGTAGTTATGTTTTGTTGCACCCTTCATAATCTTGTCATTAAACAAATTAGCAATTTTGCATTGAAGATTCAAACATCTTCCTGTGTATAAACAAGTAATCTAAATCTCCTTGATGATAAGAATATTCATTAAACATTTTTTTACTAAAATTCATATTTTTTTATAATTCTGAGTGAGTTATGTTCTAGTGCTGGCAAGGCTGTAGCTCAGTCAGTTGAGTGTTATATGGTATTCTGAGGGTGCCTGGTTCTAGTGCTGGCCAGGCTGTAGTTCAGTCAATTGAGTGTTATATAATTGAGTGTTATATGGTATTCTGCGGGTGCATGGTTCTAGTGCTGGCCAGGCTGTAGTTCAGTCAGTTGATTGTTATATAATTGAGTGTTATATTGTATTCTGCGGGTGCATGGTTCTAGTGTTGGCAAGGCTGTAGTTCAGTCAGTTGAGTGTTATATGGTATTCTGAGGGTGCCTGGTTCTAGTGCTGGCCAGGCTGTAGTTCAGTCAATTGAGTGTTATATAATTGAGTGTTATATGGTATTCTGCGGGTGCATGGTTGTAGTGCTGGCAAGGCTGTAGCTCAGTCAGTCGAGTGTTATATGGTATTCTGAGGGTGCTTGGTTCTAGTGCTGGCCAGGCTGTAGTTCAGTCAGTTGAGTGTTATATGGTATTCTGAGGGTGCCTGGTTCTAGTGCTGGCAAGGCTGTAGTTCAGTCAGTTGAGTGTTATATGGTATTCTGAGGGTGCTTGGTTCTAGTGCTGGCAAGGCTGTAGTTCAGTTGAGTGATCATGGTATTCTGAGGGTGCCTGGTTCTAGTGCTGGCAAGGCTGTAGTTTAGACAGTTGAGTGATATATGGTATTCTGAGGGTGCCTGGTTCTAGTGCTGGCAAGGCTGTAGTTCAGTCAGTTGAGTGTTATATGGTATTCTAAGGTTGCTGGATTCTATTGCTGGCCAGGCTGTAGTCTGGTAAGGCTGCTAAATTTCCCTTACCCTGTGATTTAATTTATCCAAGAATTTTGAGTTTAGTGTAAATTGAAATAATCAGAATAATAAAAGATAATCTTGTGTTTCAGTATTCCTCTTACCAATCCTGTAGTTTATGTTACTAATTAAAGTGGCTGCAGAAAACCTGAAAATACCTTATTAATATTATTGGTAACTCTGATACATGTATTTACAGTGACACTCACTGTTTTCTTAACATGATAAAAATGTATATAATTATACATGTGTATATTTAATTGTTCTCTACAGCAGGTTGCAATTTATTAATTTATAGTTCATTATTTGAAAGGAAAACTGCTGGTTTGATGCTGCTTTACTTATTTTATTAATTGCAGAAGTTTTTATCTTAGTATATTTCATGCTATCTATTGAAGTAACAACCTTAATAGTTCATGATAAATACAAAGTCAATTAGTGTATTTAAAAGCTTCTAGATTTATAAAACGTACAAGGAAGTGAACACTCTATTGATTTTCGACTACTTCTTCTTATAAATAATATATATTATAAAAAGACAACTTTTAAGATCATCTGACAGCAAAAATTATCACAATTAACGGCACAGCGCTTTATGCTTTCAGTGTTCAATCTAGAGCGCGCCATTGCGCCATTGACCCCCTGAAAAGGCCGCCGGCGCAAAAAAAAATCAACTGTGGGCCCGACGGGCGCACTCATAGAAAATGCCCTAAATGACATTAGAATGCTTTCTTAAACCTGATTAAGTACATAAAAGAAGTTTCTTGTGAATAATATTAATAACTGAAGTTTGTATTGAAAAACAAGGGCATGTTGGTAAGATAGTTTACCGCACTCGGTAACCCATTTAAAACCTTTATCGCTACGCTCTCTCGGTCCGCGTCTGTAAATACTATGTAGACTTGTTCTTTGTACCGTAACTATTACTTATACTTTTGAGTCACAGTTTTTTATAAGCAAAACAAATCGTCACAGATAATCCAATACGTGCGTGTAGTTATAGTTTTTTCACGGTCAAAACAAATAAATATGTAATAACCCCCCAAAGGAAAAAAATATAAAGTGCGAGTTAATTATAGAGAAGTGTGCATAAATTATTACGAACACGCCTCCATCCAATTAAAAAAGTCTTAAAGATGGAGCAATCAAACACGATTGGCTAGGGAGTGTCTGACAATTAAGTAAATTAACTTTGATTGGTCTTTGGCTGGTCGGCGCTAAAACATTGTGCATATCATTAATCAACACAGACATCTTAAGCGTGATGTAAGAACTGCTGCCCTGACAAAAGATCAAAGGTACCGGTATGTCAATATACAGTGTCTTAGCACCTGTTGACACTTTGTTTTTCTCTTGGATATATTGAGAAGGGTAAATGTTTTTAGCGACTATTGTAAGTTTATATTCTTCATAAACAAAGCTAATTTCAAAATATGATTTTCCTTTATATATTCGGCGCTGATTAAAAAACTGAACATTATTATCAAATATCCCTGGTGACATTAAAATAAGATTAATACTTTT